GAATACAAGAATTGGTAAAGAAATGTAGCACTGAATTAGAGTATCGAGGATTGATGAGAAGACTGGTCAGAGGACGGAATATTTTACACTTTCCTCTAATCAGCCAATCCTGCCCATCTCTACATTGGTGTTCAGGTCCAGGAAATTTGTTAAGTATAGAGGCACTTGCTTTCCCAGCCTGAGGACATGAGATCAACTCCTGAGCCCATGTAAAGATGGATGAAGAGAACCAACACCAAACATGTCCTCTGACCTGAAAAGAGGCACCTATAAGGCACACATACACACACACACACACACACACACACACACACACACACACACACACACTCCCAAGCCCATAGACATCCATACACAAAAGCACACATGAATGTGAACACACAGACACACATGCCCAAGCACACATGAATAATGCTCACAACTTCAAATACATCCTCACACTCATGAAGATACACATTTCCATGTCACACACAAATGTAAAAACCGCCCATGGGGGTGAAGATGCATGTAGATATACACACATTTAAACACACTTTTTTGTAATGGGTATGAGCTATTCCTCCACTGTGTTCTCTTTTGCCTGAGAAACTGCCCCTTGTCCCCAGAAAAAAAAAATAAAATAAAATAAACAGGCCCCGTTGTCACTTCATGAAAACTGTGGGATCTATGGCTTCTTCCTTGTTTCGGGCTCCCATCCCAATGTGTGGGACCCCAACACTTATTCAGTCATGTTCTCACTCTCAGAAATCTCTGGATGAGAAGGCTTGGGGGCCCTGGAATTCCAACAGCACAACCCCTGTGGTGGCCTGTGTTACAGCCTGCTACTGCTGCTTAGCTATCCATATCACAGATTGAGGCAGATGCATGAAGTTACCTCAGGGTAGATGGGGACCAGTCATTCAAGAATTAATGATAGGCATGTTACTTCTCCCAGCTACCTGAGGACCTCTGTCTCCTTAGGTGGGTCCAGTCAGTCATACCATTGTTCCCTCTAAGGCTCTGTCAACCATTAAAGGAGAAGTGGCCAGAGAGACAAGAGCACTGACCCTGGGTTGCAAGCTGCAATGAGTTGTTCACAGTCACCTGCACCTTCCCCCGATTTATCCAGTGTCTTTGGCTTTTGGTAGCCACAGTGATGTTTGTGGCTCCTTGCTACTCCAAAATATCAGCAACCTAAATCTCTAGCTCTGACCTAAACAGATCATCAATATCACTGCCATTCAAAGCTCAGGGAAGCTGAGGCAGGAGAATCACCAAATATCTGTGACTACCTTATATAGAGATTCTACCTCACAAAAATGAGCTTGACTAAGTGTCTATTTAGAAATATCAGTACCCTCCACCTCTCAGAGACTACTAATGTCACTTCCCATGCTAACAAGAAAATGTCAGCAGCAGCAGGGAGGAGAAACAGCGCCATGGTCACCTGTGTTAAGGACAGCACCTGAGCAGTTCTTTGCACTTTTTGGTGGACAAGCAACAGCATCTCAGGAGGTGTCCCCCCTTCTCTCTATAATGACTTTATTTGAGATAAGTTCCCACTATGGATTCCAAACAGGCTAAAAGTCATGGTACATTACTGCCTTTCTTCTCCGGTATAGGGAACTCAGGTGAACCAGCAAACCCAGCAAGCTTTTTCTTTTTGTCTTCTGGATGAATTACCTAAATTGCCTTGGACCTCAGTGAAAACAAAGGAGAAGACATTAGCCACTGTCCAGTCCTAAAACTTCAGGAAACCCAGGACATTTGTCCCTCCCTCATCGCTGAATTTCCTCATCTCATGATGAGCTTAGAGCCTTCAAATACTGCTTAAATTCTTCATTGACCTAAGCTAAGGTCATGTGTTTATAAATACAGTTCATCTTTAGCCTAATAATCTCCCAGTGCTAGGCCTGAGAGGGCTGTGCTTCAGGACAATAAACTACAGCAGGAACGGCAGTGACCTCCTGTCTGCCATTTTCTTCATCAAACCCTCTGTTTGCCACCCCAGGGTCTACCTGGAAGCCTCATGCAAAAAGAGTGTCACTGTGGTTTGTCTGGTGAAAATCGGGGAGAGCTGATGGCTGAGGAGAAAGTCCATATGCACTTGGTTAAAAAATTCCATGTTCCGTTCCTCACTCTCTTGCTGCCTTGTGGTCAGCAATTGCCTTAAGGTTCAACTAGAACTGTAACTCTACAGCTTGTCATCCTGGACTTGCTCTGCCAGTCCCCCCGTGCTGGAAAATGCAGAATGATGGACCTGCCTCAAGACTGAGCACACCTAGCAAGACCCGTGAGCACCAGTACAAATTTCAAGAGTCCTGTGCTTACAGGTTTCTATTTTTTTTTTTTTTTTGCTTTTTTTTATGAGTGTGAGTGTTTGTCCTTCATTTAGGTATGTGCATTTCTGGAGACAGCTGAGGTCACCAGAGGGAGTTAGATCCCCTAGAACTAGGGGACAGGGTATTGTGACCTACCGTGTGGGTGCTTGATATGTAAACTGTGAACCTCATGATTGAGCTCAATTCTCTTCAGCACTGAGCCTTATCAAACCCTGTGTACACTCATTAAAGTGAGTGGTGCTCTAGGAAGCGCTGGAAATCAGAATGCTTTCTTTTCTCCTGGTCTGTTTATCTAGGAGCATGTACAAGGGATGGCCTGGGACACTCAGGCCAGTCCTGTACAAATAGAGCAACCTCTCTTAAAACTATGCACTGGCCTGCAGCATGTTGACTGTGGGGGATAGGTGGGGTCTTGGGTGTGGGGTGGCTGTGTCTCCAGGGCCAGCTCTGATGTGAAAAGATATAACCCTGTCTTCACTTAGGCCAGACCAGCAAGCAGTGGGGGAGAACACAATAGGGAAGGACAGAAATGGAGAAGTTTAAAGAAACGGTTTCTGGAGCAGGGGTGGGGTGGAATGGGAGCATATACAAAGAGGACACCTACAGACAATTTCCTGCACTGATCTAGCCACAGATATCCATGGGACCAGTGGTAAAAAAGCCATGCACTGTAGTGATGGAATGGTCATCAGTATGGCTTCCATAGAAGATCCATTTGTTGAGTGTTGACTTATGGAAATGGGTGAGGACTCACTACTCTCATGCAGGAATGGCTAGGGCAATACTTACCACCCCTGGCTGCACTTGAGGATCCCAGCAGGAATCATTCTCTACACAAGGTATTCACTCCTGTCATGTTTCACTAATTTCTAGACTTCATAAAGAAATGTTCAGTATTGGCTGCAGGTTTACAGACCATCCTAGGTCTGGTCCTGGAGGAGTCAACAAGCAAATGCAGCAGGGTGGGTGTCTAGGTAACTGAACCATTAAGTTGAATGTAGTCTGGGATTCTGGAAAGGTTTCAATGCCCAAGATGAAGATCCTGAGCCTTAAGAAGAAAGCAAACAGGAACACCTGTATGTTCTTCTCATGCTGCTTCCACATTCATGGGTTATCATAGAAACATTCAAGTCCCTGCTGTGAGATACTTCCTAAGCATTTTTAGTCAGGGAGGCCCCAGGCTTCTAAAACAATACAGGCTAGTACTATTTCTCTTGGTTACACACCAGAAGTAGATGGTAAGACCCTACTGTTGAAGACACCCACCTTTAGTTCTTAGCACACAGAGAAATCAGCTGAAACTGATGAGCAAACTTCCTCTAATGCTGCCTAGCTTTCTTTGTGCAGGGCGGTGCTATGCATAGTGCTGGGAGAAAGTAGGCATCAGTGTTCCAATTAACTATGCATTCTACATACTTTACTGCTGACCTGCTGCAGATGATGTGCCCACAGATATGATCACGGCACTATTGCTATGACAGTAACCAAGCATGTTCTAGTTGGGTATTTGGCCTCTTCCCAGGATGTAATTCATGTGGGTGCCATACTTCTAGTGCTAAGCCCACACACTGGGGCATAAAGAGGACAATGGGGAAACATGCTACTGTCATTTTTCTAAATGGACATGTTGTCAAAATGCCTCCCAAATACTTATGTATGTGTCCAAAGATTAGTACTACTTTCCCATTGGTCAGAGAAGCTTCTTGGCATGGGGAGTGGTTAATACATTGAATCATTTACTTGTCAAATGGTTGAGAAAAAGTGTTGAGTGTTTGGTTCCAAATGAGACATATCACACACACACACACACACACACACACACACACACACACACACACACACACACGTCACCATTCAGAGGCATGGTGTAAAATGACGCTGAAACAATTTAAGAGGTGGAAGCTGGAGAGGAGTGCTGTGAAAACCTCTTTTCTGGACAGGACAAGGGCTTTGCACTCAGGAAAACCCAACAGCTGTGTTTATCTCCACTAAAGCTTCTCAAGGGGGAGCGCTTCAGTATTCCAGAATGCATGGTGTAGGGGTTAGTGCTCTAACCCTAGCTGAGGAGTGATTCATGCTTCTTTAGAGGGAAGGAGGAGTCATTTTTCTTTAGGGGTGTAGAAAATGGGAAGTTGCCCATGATTCAGTAGAACCCCACAAGCATGCATATGCAAGAAACCCTGATTAAACTCAGTGGGTTGTTCAAAATAGAAAACGGGGCAGGCAACTTGGCTTCATACAACAAGACCCTTGACACCAAGCCTGACAAGTTTAGAATAGGGGTATCAGATGGGGTTGGAGGAGCGTGGGTGAGGGAAGTGAGGACTAAGTATGATCAAGATCAATTATAGACATACAGAAGAACAATGTCAGATGCTTAAAATTTAAAACCACAGCAATGAAATGTTTAATCCCAACCCTTGGGAAGCAGAAGTAGGTGAGTTTTTATAAGTTCCAGGTCAGCCTGGACTGTAAAGTGAATTTCAGACTAGACATTGCTTCACACTGAGATCCAGTCACAATAAATAAGAAAGACAGAAAAATGAAAAAGGAAATAAAGGAGAAATAGGCAACTAGGACAAGGTTGCCCACCAGTACCTACTAATCCTATTAGCTGACAATCACACCTCTCACTTAACATGGTTATGTGACTCCTGATCAGAAGGAAGACTCAAGAGCTTGACACAAAACTCAACTTTAATTATAGAACTAAATAGAATTTTTAAGAAACTACAAATCTGTTTTAAAACACACTTATATAAAGAAAATACAAGTTTCTGTGAAATTTATGGAAAATTTCTAGACAGGGCCAACATGAGCAGAGAGTGTGCGCCTAAGCACAGTTTATGGTGAGCTGCTTTGGCCAGACTGTCACTGGCAGTGAATTTGTCCCAGCATCCCTTGTGCAGGACAGCATTTTTGTTTGCAGTTTGCTGTAAGCATTAGCCTCAGTGGTGAGTTCATCACAGCTAGGGAACTTTACATACTTCAAACCAAGCTTTTTAGGTAAGTAGACTTTTCTCTCTTGGCCAAATATCCTTTAGAGTTGTGTTGTAGGCAGAGTGGTCACTCAGGAGGACTGTCTTCAGGACAACATGGTTGTAGAATGGATCATCTATGAGGAGGAGAGGAAGGCTACCTCGTGCTATCTTACATTACACAACTATGACACAGTCCACAGAGCTGCACTCCTCTTCTCTTGCCTTTCTAGGCTTGTGAGGTGGTCCACTTTGTTCCAGAGATCCTTATTCTATACGAGATGCCCTGGAGCTTCAAAATCACTCATCAAAAGCCAAAACATCAATGAATAAAGAGTTTAAGCCTCACATGTGATGCCCAAAGGTTCTTCTTGTAGCCCAGCAGAGAATCCCCATTAATAGAATATTCTCTTTTAAACTCTGGCATTTTTTCCCAGTTTCCATGTGCCAGACTATAGTGCAACATCTCACCCAGGGAGACACCATGTAGTCTGCATCAGGAACTCCAAAGTCTATGTGAAATTGTACATTGTTGGTAAACCTCATCAGGGCATACAGCCACTCAAAAAGCAATAAGACTCATCTGAGTCAGAAATTTCTCTTTAAATTATGTCATTATCAGTTAGTTTCAAGTTCTGTGCCTAATCTCTTCAAAAAGTCATTTGTCTGTCAAAGAAGCCTCCAAGCAAAGTGAGACAAGTAGGCTGATGTCTGGGATCAATGGAGACCTTCATTCTTCTTCAGTTGTTTAGTGAGCATTGGCATTACAACCTGTCCTCTAGGCTCCCTGAGGCAGGTGAGGCAAGCCAGTAAGTGCGTGCATTGGGCCCTTACTCCTATACTGGATCCTGGCCAGAAAATATCATCTAAAACTAATAACAAGTAAACTATATAATAAAATCAATTTCTAGTCATTATGAATGACTGATATACTATTCTAATTCATTAATAGAGCACACATCAGTGTCTTCCTCTGGGCTCTGTGAATGAGTAGAGTGTTCCATTCATACACACCAGTGAACATACATGACAAAGATGTAACATACACGAAACAGATGTAACATACACAACATAGATTGAACACATATACATATACACATACACCATCCTACATTCACTCACATATACACAAAATACACACGCACAATACACACACACACACACACACACACACACACACACACACACACACACACACACACACACACACACACACACACACACACACACACGCTCCCACTGATGTAGGTGTGTGGGATTTAACTCATCGCAAATCTGTGACAGTCACCAGGCTGTTTTGGATGGTGACGTGACTGCAGTCCTGCAATTAGAGAAAAGGAAATGTGGTTAAGGCATGGACAACTCCTGTTTTGAAACAGCTTATACCTTTTATATTATACCAAAAGAGAGCTTCATGTGACCCAGGCTAGAACACGTAACCTAGGTATGCCAGAGGGATCCTGAAATTACTCTCTTGCCACTAGCTCCAAAGTGCTGGATTATAGGCAAACACCACCATGGCAGATTTCAGTAGTTCTGGGAAATGAGTCCGGGGCCTGGTGCTTGAAACAGGAGCACTCTCCCAACTGAGCCACATCCCAAGCAATAAGCCTCTGATTGGAGAAGCTCACTGAAGTTACATAGTTCTCATCCTAGCACTGAAATCCTGATGTCAATAGAAGCAATGTCAAAAGATCTGGCACCCAACACTCCTACCAAGTTCTCCACATGGTCGGATTCAGTGTCTCCCCGTGTATCTTTGCATCTATTTTCCAGAGTCACTTGTGAAACATTCCTTTATTAAAAGGGACCAGGAAGTTCAGTGCAGTATTGGAGTCACGATGTCAATCAGATGGTAAAGGGGACCTAATAGTCCTTGAGGAGATACTCACACTTGGCATACAAAGTCATAAGGATTTACCAATCTGAAAGCCTGGCTATGTAGCCTCAGCTGGCCTCAAACTTGTGATCTCCTGCGGCAGCTGTCTAAGTGCTGGCGCTACAGGTGTGCTTCACCATGGTCAGGTTTGGAGGAGGTCTTGCCAATTGGGAACTTGAGAGCTGGTGTTTTAGACATTTTTTTTTTTACTTGTGCAACATCTTTCAAAATTCTAGCACCTAATCATTTTGTATTCCAAGATAGAGCTATCTATTTTTTAACAGATCTTTTTTAGAAAGATCTTCCCCACATTCAACTGAAAACCTGGTTTGATCCATGAGACTAGAAAACAGGGACTGGAGTATGGTACAGTGTTTAACAACACCCACTGCTCTTGCAGGGAAGTGGGCAGTGAGCAATGGCTTGACTCCAGATCTAGGGCATCTGCCAACTTCTTCTAACCACACAGGCACTAAACTCATGTGAAAATCCAAATAGAAAGAGAATTAAAGTCAAAACAGGGTCTACTTTTAAAAGACTACACAATGAAGTTAAAGAAATAAAAATAATGAAATAAAAGTATATATATATATATATATATATATATATATATATATATATATATATATATATACTTTTTAAAGAAAGCTGAAGTTTCATTAGGTCTTATTTTACTGTTAGGATCAGGAGTATGATGCAAACTCTATATAAATACACACACGCGTTCAGTATGATACATAGAAAACACATACAGAGTTCTACCACTTGGAATTAGCACTCTGATCTCAGGATCTTAGCCTTCCTTCAATCTCTGTGACTGTATCCCTCAATCTTATATATTTTATAGGACTGGGTTCTGGTCTTTTCACTATGTTGTTGCATTCCTTCTGAATCAAAGTGGATGAAAAAGTCCAGGCTAATGTGAAGTAAAGTGCCAGAATCTCATTGATCTGAGGCCCTGAGGCCTGATCATACTAAGTGTGTTGTTATCACAGATACAAACTGGGAGAAAAAAAACCACCTCCCTAGGCAGGTGAGCACAAAACTTCAGAATGAAATATGCTTAATTTATCTATCTTACATGGCTTTTTCTTTGGCATTCTGATCACCCCCTGAAACCTAGTAACTGACATTGAAAAAGAACAAATTAATAAGTAATAAGCCTTGAATAAGCTAATGGATTCCATACTTTGTGGGTTATTTCTTTTCCCCATGTTACTGGGGATGGAATCCAAGGTATCAAGCATGCTGAGGACACACTCTGCCCCTAAGTCCACCCCAGTCCCTCTTCCTTTATCCTCTCAGCAGCCTGTAAAGTACATAGTATTAGTATCCCCAGTTATCAGGAAAAATGGTCCAGATGGCCAGCACCCTCAAAGACAGTAAATGACCAGGTTGCAAATATAAGAAACTGATATCCACAGCCCACTGCTTCCTAGATACACGGTTATTATGGATTTCTAGGAAGGTGGGTCATGAGGTTGATCTTCCATGAGGATCAAAAAGATGTTCAACCATATCAGCTCTATGTCCTGGCTGGGAATATGGCCTTGATTTCTTGTACACAGATACATACACAGAAGAGAGCTGAGTCCTGATTATGAGAATGAAATCCTCTCTGGGGACAGAATGATATTTCTTTTAATCCATAAGGTGTCAGTGTAAAAATTCCGACTCTGAAATGAGAAAAAGTAAAATTACAGTCGAGCAGATATCCCCCGTCTCTTTCTGCTCTCTCCTCTCCATCTTTCCTCTTGTCCCCCTTCTTTTCCTCCTCTTCCTCCTCCCCTTTCTCTTCACCTTTCTACCCTTCTCCCCTCCTCTCCTGCCTGTCTCTCCTCTTCTCTGCACAACTCTTCCTCCCTCATGGACCATGTGGAACTCCTCTTCCTATTCCTAGTCATCACTGTCATTGTCCTGTTAGACCTTGTCTTCTTTGTCATAGTCTCAACCACCCTCCCTCCCCCTCTCTTTCTTCTCCTCTTCATCCTTTTCTTGTCCTCCTCCTCCTCCTTCCTCCCCTTCTTCTTACCCCTGTATGTGTACCGCCCTCTCTGTCTCACTCTCTCTGGATCCCTTTCTTGGCCTAATGATGCAAAGGAACTCAACAGTAGAAATGAGAAGGAAGAAGAATCAAACAAAAAGTTAGGTCTGTTAGGACAATCATTTTGAGTAGCAAGTTGGGGGTGTGCTGAAACCAGGGTCCAATAGCCCCTGTGAGACAATATCCAGTGTACAAAAATTTATTACAAAAGAAAACAAGATGATTCATTGCTTTCCCAACATTAGCTCTGCTGAGAAACTCAGATTAACATGACATTGGGAATGATAAGAGATGACACTCCTTTGCAGTGTCCAGTGTGGAATTTCTTTAACCTCTGGCTCTTGAGGTCACTTCTTGAAGATGGAGCCCAGCAATGGTGTCAGCACGTCTTTTAAGAGCAGCTGGTTTTAATTAGAATATGCACCTTATAGGGAGGCTTTCATAGCAATCACTTAAGACACTCTGGATATTACTTCATTTTCAGTGTTCTGAGCCATGGAGCATTTTGCTCTTGTACCATCCAGACCTGAATCCTACATACTCACTGTTTATATTTGGGTGCACACACCACTGCAATGGATTCCGGGAGCATCTTCTGGTAACCAAAATGAGTGTGTAAATCCACACTCGACAAGAAGGCTGTCTGGGTTGGATGGGTCTGAGAAGACAAAAGAAGCCAAGAATTCCCAGTGAGCCCCATGCCTGATCCACAAAGGAAAGCAGTCCCGAGGAGCTTCAACAACTGGTTCCCACCATGAATCCCGAAATCACGCCAGGAAAACACTCTGGTCTACTAGGTGGAGAAGAAAGAAGGAATTATCTCTTTTGTCTTCCTGATCCATAAAGGTCCTAAGCTGGTCATTCACTGAGGACAAGATCCCTTTATTCATCCAAGCCTAGTTATACTGACTGCCTAAAGAGTAACCAAGTTTTGTCCTTCAGCATCTAACTTACCTCTGCTTCCCTCCTGCTAACAGCAGACTCTGATTCCATCTCCCTCAGAGTTCCCATGACTACTTCAAACATCAGTTCAACGGACTCTCAGGGTCTTCAGCTCCAAGCCTTCAAACCTGCCTCTGAGACCTCCCTATGTGATTTCTCCCTGTTAAGAGGAGACCCTTCTGCCCTTCGGGTGTGGCACTGTAAACACTACTGCCACATTATCTTACCCCTCTTTCCTTCCCTTCCCTCCCCTCCTTCACTTGCTCACCAGGTGTAAACACACATCAAACAACTGCATGCCAGAGTGGGGAGGAACCTTGCAGATGTTAAGCCAAGAAAGCCAGATGTGAAAGTCATGTATCTATCCATTGCATTTCAGGACATAAGCAGATATGAAGTACTGATAGCAGGGAGGGGGGCACACTTAGGAAATTAACTCTATAGAGATCAAAGTAGAGATGGTTAGAGCAAGAGGAAGATCAATCTCAGAGGAAGGAATTTGGAAAGATGGACCAGGCTCTCAGCAAATTCCTGTTTCCTCAAGGGGTCATTAAGCTATGCTGTTCATATATGGACACTACAAGTAAGCTATATTTTAAAATATCAAGCACTTGTAAAACTAAAAGTCAAAGAAAAAACTAAAGTGAAGAAAACAAAAAATAACTAGACAAAACCATGATGAAACCATTTCCCAATTCTTGTGCATGTCCGTACTCTGTTAACCCAACTCTGCAAAGAGCAGCCTCATCTCTCTCCCTTTCGTCTAGAATCGTGGCCTAGATAGATGTGATCCTCAATATGGCAGTCCTGACAAGCTCCACAATAGCAGTAATTTCATCAGATGACTTTGTTTTCAAGCCACGGTCTGCCTGTGTAGCACAGGTTGGTGCCAAAGTCACCATCCAGCAGGCCCACCTTCCTGAAGGCTAGGCTTCCAGGACTGTGCCATACACCAAGCTTTCCATGGCTTCTTTAAACCTTGCAGTCTCTACCAACCAAGGCGTAAAAGTCATTAGCCACCATTCTCAATGAGCTGATCCTCTTCTGTTGGAGCCTGTCCCTGGGTCACATACTGAACTCATTCCCCCACTGTCCCTGCTGTGCATCTTCTGTGAACCCCATAACCATTTCTCCTGCATCCTGTGTCTCTGTCATCCCCCACTGTGTTCCTGCTCTCCTCATTAGATCTCCTCCTCAGCTGTCAGCCAATCACTTCTCTTGCTGTCAACACTCCTTATTTACCAGGTTTTCTGGACCACCTCCATTCAGAAGCCACACAGATTCCTCTCCTACCTTCACTGGGCTTCCCCAAACCTCCATCCAACTGCCAGCAAAGGCTCCATAGATGTGATATCTCACAAGTGCCTTAAATTCCACAAGGTAGGACTGAAGCCCACTTCCAAAGTCCATATTCCTCTAGATGCCCTACTAATGCTTATGATAACTGCCATCCCCATGGGTCCGACTCCAAGCCTGCCCTGTCACAGACTGGACAACCTCTATTTTCAGCCCCTGGATCCCTGAAATCCCACATTCCTCTGCACATGGCCATGACCCTCTCATCGTCATTGGAAGTCACCAGCTCCCAAACGTTAACTGACCTCCCCACTGTTACCAGCCTTGCAATTCCTTCATTTTACCTTCTGAGTTGGCTTTGATCACATCATTGTTCTGCCCAAAACACCCAAAGAGTTCTCCCTTTACTCAAAAACAGGTCTTTTCTTTCTGCCCTCACCCGACAATGGAGAGCATGGCTCTGAAGGGTCATGTCAACACAAATCTGCCATCCTTTTCTAATATCAACCACAAATCCCAACGGACAAGACTGCTCACTGATGCAGGACCACTTCCCCATGAAGCTCTCCTTGGGCTTCTTTGTAAGTCATTATAAGTCACCTCAAGTGGGATTCCTCTTTCCATGAAACCCACAGTGCCCTATATTTATCTCCTGAAAAGTAGAATGGACTCTGCCTCATCAAAACTGGTGCTCATTTTCTGTGTGATCTCCAGGCACAAAAGGACAAATTTCCATCTGCCATGGTATATTATTGTTAGGCAAAGCAGTAAGAATTTATGTAACTGGAGCATAAAGATACAGGAAACTGCCTCACATATCAGCAATTCCCATGCTGTGAGTATAAAAGTACTTGTGATCTCGCAAAACCTAGAAATAACCAACTGATTGTGGCTTACACCTGTCCCATTCTAAGAGAAACTGCATGTTCTGTGAGTTTGAAGCCATGAAAATGAGAGAATCATTCAGAAGAACTCTCTAGGGAAGGAACTCTATTTCCTTCAAGATCACCACAAGCCTGCACAGCATGGCCAACTACTTGAAAATCTTGCATGAAGGTGCTCTTTTGGTGTGCACAAAGCAAGTGCTTCTCCACAAAGACAAAATGCAATCATTAGAATGAATTATCTTGACGTTAAAATATGTCCAGTCATACAGCTTTTAGGGACATGGTCTCTAAACCATGTTCTCATACATCCTAGGGAAGCTACCATTATTCATCTATTCACAAAGTATTGGAACTTTGAAGAATTACTTTGAGTAAGAGATAAAATTAGAAGAGCTGGAAATACACCAGGAAACATGCCTTTGACTCAACGCTGAAACACTAGTGACTGCATGTGCTCGGAGACAGATGATCTGGAATGGATTGACTTTGTGATGAGAAAGAAATAGGCAGTGTGTTTAGAAGAGGAGCTGCCACAGGGAGGTCAGTTTGCTTACATGAATCCAACCTAAGGTGAGAAGCCCCAGCTCTTCCTGAACAAAAAGGAGCTCCTCCTCCTTCTCCATAGAACAGTAATTATACTCTCCACTCTGAAGTGGTATTATAACATGCGTGATGTGGTATTCTTCCTTTTCCTGCCAAGAGAAAACAACTTGTTACAATTCCCTGGCACTGTCAACCCACTCTCTCATAACACAAGTAAGTGAAGCCCCCACCCCAGTGAATGACTCTCATCCTTCTCCCTCACCTCAGTGTTTCCCAACCTTAACTGCTCCAGTGCTTTGCTGGGAACTGTATGAAGGCACAGAGGATAAGATGAACCTGACATGTCCCTCCTAGCACATCCTGAGACTAGAGTCTTCCCTGCAGCAGCCAATAGGTCTGATTGAGGGTCTTGAAGTGTTTAATTTATATTCCAAGGCTTACCACAGAGTAAGTGGTCAGACCAGGCTACAAAAGGAACTGAGTCCTCCTCCTTTTAGAAGTAGTCAATGTGCCTGTCCCCATGTCTCATACCTGACATTCTGCCTGACAACCTGCCTGCTTTTACTTCAATGTCTCACTCTGTATGTGAGCCAGGTTTGAACTTTTAGGAAGCCTCCAGCCTCAGTTTGCCAATGACTGGGGTTACAGGCACTAGGCACCACTAGAGTGAAAATTTCTAACTATAGCACGGAAGCAAATTATTCAATTCAAGGGACTCTGAAAAGCAACCAATTGCAAAATCATCAAATTCAAGGTGGCCAGGCCTTGTCATCCATGGTTCCTTCTGTGGAGTGATCAGTATAGACACAGCCCCTGGATATGTTTTCTGGGAGTCATAGGAAGCCAAGGGGGAAGAAACAGTCTCAGATCAAGGAGTTTTCATATCTTTACCAGGGTACCACATAAGACTCCGCATGTTTCGATTCCTTTTTCGGTGTTGTTCTTTGCAGAATGCAGGAACCTATCCCATAGATCTTTTGGAAGGATCACAGGGCGGAGGCCTTTGGAGTTCGGAACTGCAATGGAAAAGAGAAAGAAATCTGAGGTTACAGGGCCTGGTGTCCCTGAGCAGAACTCAGTCTGGTAGCCTGGAGGAAAAACACAAAGTCATTGGTATTCTCTACAGGAGCCCCTCTCCCCATGATGGAACCACAAAATAGGCAGGGAGTTTTTTCTCCAAGCTCTGGCCACAGCTGAGTGGTAGCTGTGAGCATGGTCTTTACTGTCAGTTTAAGTGGATGGAACAACATATTTCTGGGTGTGACCATGAGTTGGTTGCAAAGAAATTTCTGTGTGGGTTCACAGACTCAGTGAGCAAAGGGCCCTCTCAACTCTGGTGGGTAACATGAAGACTAAACAGGACAAACAGGCAGAGAAAATATAAACTTCTGCTGAGTCCCTCCTGGGACAGACATGTCTTCTTTATCTGTGGTTCAGATCTCCAGGTCTGCTGGCCACTGGACTCTCAGGTCTGGACTTAGGTTCCCCTGGGTCCTCATGGGTTTTGAGACTGAGTCTCACAAAATTGGCTTCCATTGTCTGTAGCTTTCAGACTTAGACTGAGCCAAACTACAAGTATTCCAGAACTTCCACTTGAAGAAAGCCTGTTGTGAGCATGCTCTGGCATGCAGACCATTTTCCCCAAGAGTTTTGAGGCCACAATAAACCCCACCAGATTTCAAGAGGTTGCAGTTGCATGAAAGCATACAAAGATTTTCTCAAGGTCATACTATCACAGACTGCCCCTAATAGGGTATGTCGTAGGGATGGAGGAAACCCTTGAGACCCTGGAACTACAGGGTCATCCATGGCACACACCACCTAGAGAAGTTGCAGCCTCAAATCCAAATGTGAGTGAAGATGGTGCACTTAGCCCAGCAAAGTTCCAAGGACAGATGGCTCCACTTAGCTGGAACCAGTCATCCCTTTCCTGATTATTCTCCAGTCCAATAGGAACTGAGCAGCTTACTCTTGCTTCTTCATTACATTTACACAGATGTGTAGATTGCTGAGTGCACAGGCTCACAGCTGGGAAAGGCTAACTCTTACTTGCATCTGGAAATGTGTGGATTGCTGAGTGCACAGGCTCAATTCTGGCAAAGGCCGACTCTCTCACCTGTGCCTAACTGAGACAGAGCACTGCAAATTGGCTTACAGCTCCTCCTCACTCAAGAAGAGATTTTTGACTCTTGCAAGGCAAGACAAGAATCAACCAATACTTTAGAAACACCTGAAAGGTCAGCTTTGGTGATGCACACTTGGAATTTCAGCATTTGCTTGCTGAGGTGGCAGGATCTCAAGTCAAGTCTATTCAGGCTGTAAAAGTAGATGTTACAAATGAAACAAACATAAACCAAATGAGATGAGATACTTGAGAACTTTTTTTCAGAAATATTTGTCTATTTTCCCTTTAAAATCCTTTATGTATGAACTGTGAGTGTGTTTGCACATGCCCATGATCTGAATTTTTGTTTTTCAGAATGTCCACGCTGATGTGTGAGCAAGGATGCACAGGTGCTTCAGCACATCTGCTGATGTGAACTGACTACCTGGAGTGCTGATCTTCCCTGGCCCCTTTGGTCCAACAGAATCTCTTCTGTGCTTCTGTGTCTGCCCAGCTAGCTGTGCTGTAAGAAAACAGGTCTTCTCCTGTCTCCCTGTCCCATCTCACCTGAAGAGAACCTTGAATGTAGAGGTGGCCAACCACACCCCACTGTCACGTGCTTTCTGGAGATTCCAACTCAGGTTTGGACACTGTCACTGCTAGCGCTTCACCCACAGAGTCAACATCTCTGGCCCTGCTTGAGGATTTCCTGTGAGAGTCTACCAAATGCTGAAAACATAATCTCATGCACTCGAAATTCTGTTGCCTTCACATCTCTCCATTATGTCCTAAAATTATCTGAGAGTCCAAGTTTCATAAAGTAACCATTTCTTATGATGGAAAATGATTTAGTATTTTCTTAATGTGCTTCTTCAAATCTCTACAGAGCTCAGAAAAGATGAGGATCTGAACTCAAACAAGTTTTGAGGAAACTTATCTGAGTAAACTAAGTTAAAGGTTATTTTGACAAGACAGTCAGATGGCAGGAAGGAACGAGACAACACTCATCACAGGAGGTTCTGTTACCACAGCAAAGTGGATCCGTGGAAGCAAACGGCTGAGGACATGGACAAGGGGAAGGGACGTTCTCTGTGTTGCTCAGTGCTCTAGACCTCAGACACCTGTGCACCAGCACCGCCTTACTTTACTGGAGAGCTGCAGTCTCAGTTTTGTGTGGCTGACCCAGGCACAATGGGAAGCACTTCTACACAAGTCATTTCCAAGTCATGGACCTGTGGTGACTCACCTGGGCTTTTCACCACCTTAGTCTCCCCAGGAGTGTCTGCTGAAGGGGTGGGGGTTATCTCCTCGAAGGCTTCCTGTGGGCCACACACCACTGTTTGTTTCACAGGTGTGCTTCCTCCTGAAGGCTCTTCAGCCTCTCTAGGTGTTGGTGTCAGGCTGGGGCCCACCTTTCCACGACTCACAAGTCTGTGTAGAAGAGAGCTGAATTTGGGGAAGTCTCGGGAGTTTTGTCCATGATTTTTTCTATGCTTCCAGAACGCCTTGGTTTTTGCCTCTTCCTCTTTTCTTTTCTTCTACGGAAAGAAAAACAGATTTAGGTTACGTCTTCAAATCCCAGAAGAAAAAGCCTTTCCAGCAAAAAAGATTTTCAAAGTATAGGTCTGACATCTCAGCATAGGGATCATGGAGCAGCAGTTCTATGGAGAACAGCCACCACCACCTTAGTCAGTTTCTGTATAGCCTTCTTCAGTAACAACCAAGTCTCAATATTCTCAGAGTCCTACTGCACTTTGTGTGTGTGTGTGTGTGTGTGTGTGTGTGTGTGTGTGTGTGTGTGTGTGTGTGTGTGTTGGCTCATCTGGATAAAGTGCATGTGAGTTCAATTGTGTGTGGAGCCTATCCATTGCATCACAGACTCACTGAAACAACAACACAACACAACCCCAGGGCACAGGCTGAGCAGGTGACACACAATCCTCCTTCCTCCATGCTCACACACTGACCTTATCTAGGTAGCCTTCATGCTCCTTATTATGATTTCTTCGGAGTGTGAATTTAAGGCTCTCAGCTTTTTCAAAAATGTAATTTATAATCTGCAATACAAAACAGAAATGAAGAATTAGAACAGTTCTAATGTCAGAAAAGAGAATAAGAAAACAAGTGGGGATAGGCAGCAGTATCTCATGCATGACTTGAACCCCATTTCCTGCCATCCCTCTCCTCTGTACTGCTATGCTGAGGCAGCATCAGCTCCCATCATACCCAGGGTCATGATCTGTTGCTTTTTTCTAAGTAGTTCACTGATGTTCTGGAGATTTTAGATCAGTCACATAGACAATGAAGACTCACCTTGTTGATTTTGGATCTTATTCGAGCTGAAAGACACTTTTTCGGGCCTTTTCTGAGTTTCTCCATTAAGAGTCTAAAGGAATAGAGCAGAGTGACTAAGATGGACAAAAAGTTACAAGTATCAAAATGAGGCCCTGAAGAAATTCAGGGTTTGAGAAGTTCATGGAGTGAGTAAAGGCACACCCTGAAATCCCACATCCCCTTATCCCCAGTGCCTGGAGAGAGAAAAGTCTTCACTCTTCTATCTACTGGTACATTCAGCAAACTTCAGCTATCAAGAAGTATAAAACAACCTCTGGAGGCATCACAATCCCTGACTTCAAGCTCTACTATACAGCTACAATAATAAAAACATCTTGATACTGGCATAAAAACATGTGGACCGTGGAACTGAACTGAAGACCCTGACATTAATCCACACTCCTATGAACATATGATTTTCAACAAAGAAGCCAAAACTGTACAGTGGAAAAAAAGAAAGCATCTTCAACAAATGGTGCTGGCATAACTAGATGTCAACATGTAGAAGACTGCAAATAGATCCATATCTGTCAACGTGCACAAAACTTAAGTCCAAGTGGATCAAAGACCTCAACATATATCCAGCTACTCTGAACCTGAAAGAAGAAAGTAGGTTGTCTCGAACACATTGGCACTGGAGATCTCTTCCTAAATATAACACCAGTAGCACAGACACTGAGAGCAACAATTAATCAATGTGACCTCTTGAAACTGAGAAGCTTTTGTAGGGCAAAGGACATGGTCAACAAGACAAAACAACAGCCTACAGAATGGGAAAAGGTCTTCACCAACCCCACATCTGACAGAGGGCTGATATCCAGAACATATAAAGAACTCAAGAAATTAGATATCAAAATAACCAATAGTCCAATTAAAAAATGGGCTATAGAGCTAAACAGAGAATTCTCAATAGAAGAAGCTCAAATGGCTGAAAGACATTTAAGGAATTGCTCAACATGCTTAATCATCAGGGAAATGGAAATCAAAATGCCTCTGAGATATCCATCTTACACCCGTCAGAATGGCTAAGATCAAAAACACTAAAGACAGCTTATGTTGGAGAGGATTTGGAGAAAGGGGAACACTCCTACACTGTCGGTGGGAATGCAAACTGGTACAGCCACTTTGGAAATCGGTATGGCGCTTTCTTTAAAATTGGCAATCAACCTCCCTCAAGACCCAGCTATAGCACTCCTGGGCGTATACCCAAGGAATGCTCCATCATACCACAAGGACACATGCTCATCTATGTTCAAAGCAGCATTATTTGTAATAGCCAGAATGTGGAAACAACCTAGATGCCCTTCAACTGAAGAATGGATAAATAAAATGTAGTACATATACACAATGGAGTACTACTCAGAAGAGAAAAACAATGACTTCATGAGGCTTGCAGACAAATGGATGGAACTAGAAAACATCATCCTGAGTGAGGAAAGGGTCAGGGGAAAGAGAGCTTAGGGGAGCAGGAGGTCCCAGCTGGATCAGAAACACAGTGGGGGAAGAAGGAAAAAGATACCATGATAAATAAAGACCCCGTGGGAATAGGAAGAAACAGAGTGCTAGAGAGTTCCCAGAAATCCACTATAGACTTCTGGAAATGGTCGAGAGAGTGCCTGAGCTGACCTACTCTGGTGATCTCAAGGCTAAATATGACTGGTGAGACCTTTACCATCATTCCCTTCCTCAAACACACAATGTTCTTGTCATTAAAACTATAGGAGTCATTCCCTGGGAACAGCTCTGCAATCTTATTCTGCCTACCCAAGTGTGGTGAACAGCTCAGGGACTGTGCTGAGTCACTCCAACACTAGGTGGTCCACAGCCCAGTCCTCTGGTGGCTGTGTAGCTACAGGAAAGGCTAACCTCTTTGCTATACCAATCCACAGGCTACAGGATGTAGAGAAGAGGAATCTGGCTCTGCCACACACAGCAATAAGCCTACGACTGGCTGCCTGGGTAGAGATAGAGCACTCAAAACACTCACCAGTGCAGACACATCCTGTTCATCTGTCAACTCTTTTGTCTAAAAGCTGGGCCCTGTGGACACAACCTCAAGAACTCTCCTACTCATGAAATCCCTTAGATGTGATACCACCAACTTTGGTCCTCATGTCTTTGAACAGTAAGGAAAAGCATGTGTCAGATCTGCCAGAGAAATCTGTCATCTGATTAAAAGATGACTTTTTCCGAGTTCCATATGGTCAGCAAGGGTAAGAAGCATGAAGAGGAGGATAGGATGAGCGAGGGATCAGTCATGGGAAAGGAGGTGGAAAACTGCAGGTTCTCACGTTGAAAATTTGTGATACATCACAAGTGCTTCCTCTGTGAGGCCTTGATTTAGCAGGACTTCTGCTTTTATCTGATAGGTCTTCAGTTCAAGGTAAGATTTCCAGGTAATGTTATCATTGATGTAAATATTCTTCTCAAAAGAGCTTAAAAGTTGGAACTGCTCTTGGATCAGAAGAGTGGCATTGTTATGTCTGCGAATGGTGCTCCTGATCTAAGAAAAAGAGAAGATGGGGAACATCAAAATGCATCTCCTGCCATCCTGCCATTCCAGCAGTCTAGAACACACAAACATACACATGCACACGTGCACACGCACACACACACACACACACACACACACACACATACATCTCCCTAATGAAATTAGAGTAAATAAAACACCACATTGCTGATTCAGCTCAATAAATGTATGAACAAACCCAGCCTGGGATCCTCTTACTACAGTAGTAAAGAGGTAGAGTTGGGAATAGGGATGTCTGTGTCCTTTGAAAACAATGTGAAGGAGCTCTTGATTAGCATTTGACCTAAGGAACAGGCCTTACACACTGCCTATTCACTAGAAGATTTGCACTAGAAGACATACGTAGCTATGAGTGGTTATGCACACATCAGAGGATTGTGCTTAAGCATAAACCCAGCAGTTACCACACGGGCCTCTCTTGATGTTGCCAAGGCAATTAGAGAGCACCCAAGCTTGGAGGAAACCCTACTCATGCCTTCCACAATGCAATCCCAGCTAGAAGCAAAAGGATTTGTGATGGGGTGCCCAAAGTGATTTAATTAGTACTTAGGACACTCAAGTCTCCAAGAGCCTTGGTGAGACAATGAGCAAGGAAAACTCAGTTCCTGCTATTTAAAGATTCCAGGAACTAAGGCTCAGAAGCAGCAGAAAAACAAAACAAAACAAAAACCTTTGGGAACTGTGAGCTCCGTGGACCACAGCATTGCACAAGCCTTTCTTGAACCTTTCTTGGCCCTCAGTGTCTTTGAGAGCAGAAGTGTAATGAATTCTAGAGACAAACTGCTCACACTATTGACCTGCTTTCTGTGATCACACTTCTGATGAAAGACAAAGTAAGTAAGACATGTCCACCAGGGAGAAAAAAAAGTGAGGTTCACTAGTTTAAAGATAGAAAAGGGCACCAGGCTTTTACATTTGCTCCATATGATTACATACAAATGACCTCTCTTTTCAGCAGCAATGAGACTTACCTTCTTTGGAGCTCCAGCAATGAAAGGTCCTTTAATATCTGGACAGCTCTGATGGTCTGTGAGCCAAGGTGTGAGAATATCACCTGTTAGCAGATACAAGTAGTTAGGAAAGGAGCTACTTTGCTTCTCCAATAATCAATATTAGTTTATGTTAATTTACATATTGCTAGCTCACTGACCATGATGGCCATGGAGATACAGGCTTTAATCCTGCAATTTCATGGCTGAGATAGTAGTTACAACCTGAATTCTATTTTAATTTAAAAACTGGGATTAAATAAATTTTTTCAAGAGTTTACAAAGGAGATCAATTCAAGATGACAGTGGCTGCTGGCATCCACAGGCCCATGGAGCAGCTCTAAGGAGCCTGAGAGACCCAAGGAGGGTCAGATTGGAGATAGGGCAGCAGAGGATGAATCTGAGAGAGCAAAGAATCTCAAAAACAACTAAAATATGGTAGGTCGTATGGGAAGATGCTATTAAGAAGTGGTTTCATGAAATTGAAAAAAAAAAGAAGAAGAAGAAGAATAGCAGAGCAGATTCCATACATGGGCCAGAGATAAGTGAGCCTAAAGCTGCTGAAGCTCACACTAATGGCGATGGAGAATGGTTCATTTTCTGGATCGGTTTTCCTCAAAAAGCCTCCAGATACTGTGCTGTAGCTGGAGGCCATGTTGGTGTCCATAAACCATGCTGCCACCAGAAACCATATGGAAGTCAATGAGCTGTGCTGCCACTGGCTGTTCCAGGTAAGGAAGCTTCTTTTGCAGTGGTAACAATGACTGTAGCCTCATAGTTGAGAATGAGAAACCTATCACAGAAGACTTTTCCCACCTTCAAATAAAAAAGGAAACAGTCTAGACAGTAAGCCACTGAAGAGAGTCCTTAAATTGTTATAAAGATGCTGAAATGTAGCTCTTTTCAGTTGATGTCTTCCAGCAGGAGATGTGGCTGTTGAGTGTGGGGAAGGACTCAGTTATTTTAAAGGGGCTGGCCAATGAGACTTTCACCATGCACCAATGACTAACTACGTGGAAAACACAAATTAGAATTTATGTATTTTTTTTTCTTCTTTTGGGCAGGCACAGGGTGGGAGAATGCCCCTGGAAGGAATGGGAAGCTATTTTGATCAGGTGCATTATATAACATTGCCAAATAATCAGTAAAAATATGTTAGAAAAAAAGTACAATGAATAGAAAAGATTCCCTTAAAACTCTACAGGGATTTATTTTTAGGGCATGCTCTCCAGGAACTCCTTATGCAACAGAGGGTGCTAGCCATGAACTAGTGGTTACTCAGCTATCTCAGCTCCCAAGAGCTCAGGGGACACTCCTGAATAAGCAGTCCTGTCCCTGAACTACTTTTAGAGAGTTTCTTTGGGGACCACAGCAGGAGACACAGTTGCTCATGTGCCCTAGACAGTCCCAATTCTCTACCCTGAAGGTCCTGTCCTGAGGGTTGCTCATTGATCTCTAGGTAGGACACAGCTGCCTATCCAGCCAGCTCCTCCAAGGCAACCCTACTCATGGATGAGTGGCAGATGTGGCCACCAGTTCCTCTCACATCCCAACACTACTGCTCAACAGCACTAACATGGAAATGCTAACGTGGAAAACTGAGTGGAGGGTTGATGCTGCTGCAGTGGAGCATCTTGGCTCTGAGTGTGCCTATCTACACACCTGGCTCTTTCCCTGCTTCTGTGGAAATGCTCTCAGGAACTACTTGAGTATTTTGTCTACACTGAGCTCATAAACACTTAACACCTCAGTGAGCCCAGAGCCCAGTCTGTCAGTTATTCCACTGTGGAATGTAAAGATCCATTTAGTGAGAGAGGAAATGTTCTGTCCAAAATCATAACCCCACATATATCAGGGATAAGATTCTAGTTAGGACAACAGCTTCTAGTTCAGTATTCTACCCATGATTCCACACTTTCTGGACTTGTCAAAATGTGTGGGAAAATTGAATGAAAGGAATTTTTCAATTTCTTTACTTACCAGACATTGTTGGGAAGATAATAAAAACACAGTTATAAGAATCAGATAAAGAGACAAAAACACTGTCAGGATTCAGAAACAAAAAACCCACATGTCCAGGGTCAGAGATACTGGACACTGAGGAAAATTAAGTTTGTCAGCATCATAAAGACCGAAAGACCATTCAGGTACTGGTTGGCTAAGAGGTAGAGTGATGTCATAAATCTACACTGGTACCCTAGTCAAAGACTTCTTGAAAAAAAGAGCAAATAAATTAGAGATGCAGACCTGAGTTTTGTTGGGTTCCTATCTTTTCTTTGTACTTCTATGATTCCTTACGATCTACAAGTCTGTACTCTAGTGAAGACAATGACTGTGAAGATGAAGAAGCAGCTTCAGTTTGAAAGCTGATCCTGAAGACTCATAGGCTCTGCCACATATTCGACAATTCATGTGTTCTCCAGAGGTCAGAGAAATAAAGGACCCAGCACTTTCTCTCAGTCCTTTCTAACTGAGCTAGCAGTGTGTGCAGAAAGAATTCTATTTTCTTATTTTTTTCAGGAATAAGTTTGTCTTTGTGACTGAAGCTGGCTTGAGATTCACCATTTAGCCTAGATTTGCCAACAACGAGCATCAGTCCTCCAGCTTCAGCCTCCTGGGTGCTGAGATTTCACCTATGAGCCCAGACACTCAGCTCAGAATTGTTATGATATATCTATAGCATGCTTATTTTCATATTTTCTCTTTCTTTTTTTAGAGACATGGTTTCTCTGTGTAGTTTTGGTACCTGTCCTGAATCTCACTCTGTAGAGCAGGCTGGACTCGAACTCACAGAGATCCACCTGCCTCTACCTCCCAAGTGCTGGGATTAAAAGCGTGCACCACCACCCAGGTCATTTTCATAATTGTTAAGCATCACCAGCATTCAAGAAAGCAGCAGAGAAAAAACAAACACAAAAGTTTTCTTTCCTGACAAGTTTGCCGTCCTAGTTACACATTTTCCCAGCCTCAGTTTACTTCCTGGTCTACTAACCTACATGTTCACTAAATCCGTCTCTGTTTGCCCCGTGCTGAGCAAATTACTCAATCACCAGAGAAATTTATTATTCAATGAAGTCTTTTGGCTCCCTTCAGCATTCAGTCCCATAAATCCTGTGTTACCATGGTTGACACCTCCAAGTTCCATGCTCTCCCTTTCCTCCATTCTATTTTATCCCCCACCACTGCATTTTTCTCTTTTCTTGACTATCTCCAGGTCCAGGTGGCCTGTTCTTTTTTGTAAAAAGCCCCAAAGTGCTCTTCCAATAGCTTCAGCCTCCCTGCCCTGTGTTTCTTCCTCCTCTCTAGTTCTCTTTTAACTAGACAGAAGACTCCAAACATTGGGAATGCTGATTTTTAAAACTCCATTGGTTTTATTGTATTTCTTCAGGAATGGTATTTAACACCCAGGCTATCACCAAAGTCACTGTGCAGCTAGAGACGGGCACGGTCTCCTTGATTCTTCTGTCTCTGTCTCCCAAGGGCCAAGATTGCAGGGGTATGGCACCATGCTCTGACTAATCACTTTAGGAGTTTGTATGGAGTCTGGGCCAGGGTTGTACAGCTATCTGTAAACTGCACAAAACATGGGTGAGGACCTTTATTATCAGGAAGGTGCCTGCCATTGTCCCAGTGTGCAGGTGCCAGAGAGGGCACAGCTGTTCCTGTCGTTCACTGTAACAAACAGTACTGCTTTAGCAGGGACAGCAGACTTTCCTCTCCCCCACTGCTTTAGGACACATGTGAGGACACAGAAGAGGGAGGGACATCTGCCTAGCCAGAAAAGGTCAGCTCATCTCAGCTGCGAATTTAACACTGCCAGACACACTCTCGAGTTCCCTCGTATTTCACCACTAATGTTGACCTGCACCAACTGTGAAGTATCATTGTGGAAAACTATGTGGAGGGAAGTGTCTTGGCCCTCAGTTCTCCTCATTACATACCCAGCTCTCTCTCTCTCTCTGCTTCAGCTGAAACAGTCCCAGAAACTCTGATTTTCTTCTCTATGTCTTGCTCCTAAACACTCAATACCTCAGAGAACCCTGAGCCCTGCCAGCTGGTTATCTCACCAAAGAAGGTGAAGGAACATTCACTGAGAGGATGAGGAAATACTCTGTCCAAACCTCAACCCTAGGGAATGTCAAAGATGAGACCACGTTAGGGCACCAACCTGTTGTTCACCACTTTCCCCTTTATTCCACATTGTTTTGATGCTTCCCAATTTAGTGAGCTGTCCAATTAAACAAACATTAAAGTTTCTTTTCCTACCTGACATCTTCAAGTCAGGAACAAAACAGGAGTAGGATCTGGATAGAGGGATGGGGACAAAACAGGAGTAGGATCTGGATAGAGGGATGGGGACAAAACAGGAGTAGGATCTGGATAGAGGGATGGGGACAAAACAGGAGTAGGATCTGGATAAAGGAATGGGGACAAAACAGGATTAGGATCTGGGTAAAGGGATGAGAGAGCAGGTGGTTAGGTTTCGCAGTAAAAAATCACGTCTGTGCAGGATCAAAGATGCTCAGCACTGAGGCACATTTGGTCACACATGGCAACTTAAAGACTCTATCTGGTGCTGATTGGTTGAGGGGGGAATGATGTCATAAAGCAGATGAAAGCCAATAGGATTCCCAGAAGCCATGTGTAACAAGGGATACTTGGACACCTGCAGGAAGACTAGAGCAGCCTTACATGGCTGCAATCTGGGCAGCTGAAAGCACACAACCCAGACATGACAGTTTCTAGTCCCAGACCCTTAGTTCAGGAAGAGTGTCACATGTTTCACACAACTGGTCATTAATAAAGTCATTTATTATTGACCCATGATTTTCACATTTCAACAGATAAAAATGTATTTATATGCACAGATGATGTCCTTGGTGAGCATCTTAGATACTGTTTTACTGCTGTGAAGAGCCACCACAGCCAAGACTACTCCAGGTGGAGCTCCAGGAGTCCAGTTGGTGAGAGAGAGGAGGGATTATATGAGTAAGAGATATCGGGACTATGATTGGATAAAGCACAGGGACAAATATCCAAACTAGTGGAAACACATAAACTGTGAACTGTGGGGATACAAATTGGAAAGGAAGAAGTCAAGCTTTCCCTATTTGAACATATAATTTTTGACAAAGAAGCCAAAAGTGCACAATGGAAAATAGAAAGCATCTTCAACAAATGGTGCTGGCAAAACTGGATATCAACATGTAGAAGGCTACAAATAGATCCATATCTATCACCGTGCACAAAACTTAAGTCCAAGTGGATCAAGGACCTCAACATAAATCCAGCTACTCTGAACCTGCTAGAAGAGAAAGTAGGAAGTAGTCTTGAACGCATTGACATAGGAGACTACTTCCTAAATAGAACACCGGTAGCACAGACTCTGAGAGAAACAATCAATCAATGGGACCTCTTGAAACTGAGAAGCTTTCGTAGAGCAAAGGATACGGTCAACAAGGCAAAGCGACAGCCTACAGAATGGGAAAAGATCTTCACCAACCCCACATCTGACAGAGGACTGATATCCAGAATATATAAGGAATTCAAGAAATTAGACATCAAAATGCCCAACAGTCCAATTAAGAAATGGGCTATAGAACTAAACAGAGAATTCTCAACAGAGGAAACTCAAATGGCCGAAAGTCATTTAAGGAATTGCTCAACATCCCTAATCATCAGGGAAATGCAAATCAAAACAACTCTGAGATACCACCTTACGCCTGTCAGAATGGCTAAGATCAAAAACACTGAAGACACCTTATGCTGGAGAGGATGTGGAGCTAGGGGAACTCTCCTCCACTGCTGGTGGGAATGCAAGCTTGTGCAACCACTTTGGAAATCAATATGGCGCTTTCTTAGAAAATTGGGAATCAATCTCCCCCAAGATCCAGCTATACCACTCTTGGGCATATACCCAAGAAATGCTCAACCACACCATAAGAGCACTTGTTCAGCTATGTTCATATCAGCATTGTTTGTAATAGCCAGAACATGGAAACAACCCAGATGCCCTTCAACTGAAGAATGGATAAACAAAATGTGGTACATATACACAATGGAATACTACTCAGCAGAGAAAAACAATGACGTCATGAGGTTTGCAGGCAAATGGATGGATCTAGAAAAAATCATCCTGAGTGAGGTAACCCAGACTCAGAAAGACAAACATGGTATGTACTCACTCATAGCAGCATACTAGACATGAAAAAAGGATGACTTGTCTGCTACTCACATCACCAGGGAGGCTACCTGGAAAACAGGACCCCAAGAAAGTCACAGGGATCGCCCAATGACGGAGAAATGGAATGAGATCTACATGAACAGCCTGGACATGAGTGGGGGTAATGAAAGGCGAGGGTTGAGGGAAAGAGAGCTTGGGGGAGCGGGAGATCCCAGCTGGATCAACAACAGAGAGGGAGAACAAGGAATAGGAGACCATGGTAAATGAAGACCACGTGAGAATAGGAAGAAGCAAAGTGCTAGAGAGGCCCACAGAAATCCACAAAGATACCCACACAACAGACTGCTGGCAATGGTCGAGAGACAGCCCAAACTGACCTACTCTGGTGATGGGATGGCCAAACACCCTAATTGTTGTGCTAGAAAACTCATCCAACTACTGAGGGATCTGGATGCAGAGATCCATGACTAGGCCCCGGGTGGATCTCTGGGAGTCCAATTAGCAAGAATGAGGAGGGTTTATATGAGCGAGAATTGTTGAGACCAAGGTTGGATAAAGCACAGGGACAAATAGCCAAATGAATGGAAACACATGAACTATGAACCAATGGCTGAGGGGTCCCCACTGGATCAGGCCCTCTGAATGGGTGAGACAGTTGATTGGCTTGATCTGTTTGGGAGGCATCCAGGCAGTGGGACCAGATCTTGTGCTCATTGCATGAGTTGGCTGTTTGAAACCTGGGGCCTATGCAGGATTGTTTGGCTCGGCCTGGGAGGAGGGGACTAGACCTACCTGGACTGAGTCTAAGAGGTTGACCTCAGTCTGTGGGGAAGGCTTTGCCCTGGAGGAGATGGGAATGGGGGGGTTTGGGGGGAAGGTGAGGGGCACCGTAGGGGGGAGAACAAGGGAATCCGTGGCTGATATGTAGAACTGAATTGTATTGCAAAATAAATTAAAATAAATTAAAAAAAAGAAAAAAAAGTAGATGTTACAAATGAAACAAACAACATAAACCACATGAGATGAGATACTTGAGAACTTTTTTTCAGAAATATTTGTCTATTTTCCCTTTAAAATCCTTTATGTATGAACTGTGAGTGTGTTTGCACATGTCCATGATCTGAATTTTTGTTTTTCAGAATGTCCACGCTGATGTGTGAGCAAGGATGCACAGGTGCTTCAGCATATCTGCAGATGTGAACTGACTACCGGGAGTGCTGATCTTCCCTGGCCCCTTTGGTCCAACAGAATCTCTTCTGTGCTTCTGTGTCTGCCCAGCTAGCTGTGCTGTAAGAAAACAGGTCTTCTCCTGTCTCCCTGTCCCATCTCACCTGAAGAGAACCTTGAATGTAGAGGTGGCCAACCACACCCCACTGTCACGTGCTTTCTGGAGATTCCAACTCAGGTTTGGACACTGTCACTGCTAGCGCTTCACCCACAGAGTCAACATCTCTGGCCCTGCTTGAGGATTTCCTGTGAGAGTCTACCAAATGCTGAAAACATAATCTCATGCACTCGAAATTCTGTTGCCTTCACATCTCTCCATTATGTCCTAAAATTATCTGAGAGTCCAAGTTTCATAAAGTAACCATTTCTTATGATGGAAAATGATTTAGTATTTTCTTAATGTGCTTCTTCATATCTCTACAGAGCTCAGAAAAGATGAGGATCTGAACTCAAACAAGTTTTGAGGAAACTTATCTGAGTAAACTAAGTTAAAGGTTATTTTGACAAGACAGTCAGATGGCAGGAAGGAACGAGACAACACTCATCACAGGAGGTTCTGTTACCACAGCAAAGTGGATCCGTGGAAGCAAACGGCTGAGGACATGGACAAGGGGAAGGGACGTTCTCTGTGTCGCTCAGTGCTCTAGACCTCAGACACCTGTGCACCAGCACCGCCTTACTTTACTGGAGAGCTGCAGTCTCAGTTTTGTGTGGCTGACCCAGGCACAATGGGAAGCACTTCTACACAAGTCATTTCCAAGTCATGGACCTGTGGTGACTCACCTGGGCTTTTCACCACCTTAGTCTCCCCAGGAGTGTCTGCTGAAGGGGTGGGGGTTATCTCCTCGAAGGCTTCCTGTGGGCCACACACCACTGTTTGTTTCACAGGTGTGCTTCCTCGTGAAGGCTCTTCAGCCTCTCTAGGTGTTGGTGTCAGGCTGGGGCCCACCTTTCCACGACTCACAAGTCTGTGTAGAAGGGAGCTGAATTTGGGGAAGTCTCGGGAGTTTTGTCCATGATTTTTTCTATGCTTCCAGAACGCCTTGGTTTTTGCCTCTTCCTCTTTTCTTTCCTTCTACGGAAAGAAAAACAGATTTAGGTTACGTCTTCAAATCCCAGAAGAAAAAGCCTTTCCAGCAAAAAAGATTTTCAAAGTATAGGTCTGACATCTCAGCATAGGGATCATGGAGTAGCAGTTCTATGGAGAACAGCCACCACCACCTTAGTCAGTTTCTGTATAGCCTTCTTCAGTAACAACCAAGTCTCAATATTCTCAGAGTCCTACTGCACTTTGGGTGTGTGTGTGTGTGTGTGTGTGTGTGTGTGTGTGTGTGTGTGTGTGTGAGTGTGTGTGTTGGCTCATCTGGATAAAGTGCATGTGAGTTCAATTGTGTGTGGAGCCTATCCATTGCATCACAGACTCACTGAAACAACAACACAACACAACCCCAGGGCACAGGCTGAGCAGGTGACACACAATCCTCCTTCCTCCATGCTCACACACTGACCTTATCTAGGTAGCCTTCATGCTCCTTATTATGATTTCTTCGGAGTGTGAATTTAAGGCTCTCAGCTTTTTCAAAAATGTAATTTATAATCTGCAATACAAAACAGAAATGAAGAATTAGAACAGTTCTAATGTCAGAAAAGAGAATAAGAAAACAAGTGGGGATAGGCAGCAGTATCTCATGCATGACTTGAACCCCATTTCCTGCCATCCCTCTCCTCTGTACTGCTATGCTGAGGCAGCATCAGCTCCCATCATACCCAGGGTCATGATCTGTTGCTTTTTTCTAAGTAGTTCACTGATGTTCTGGAGATTTTAGATCAGTCACTTAGACAATGAAGACTCACCTTGTTGATTTTGGATCTTATTCGAGCTGAAAGACACTTTTTCGGGCCTTTTCTGAGTTTCTCCATTAAGAGTCTAAAGGAATAGAGCAGAGTGACTAAGATGGACAAAAAGTTACAAGTATCAAAATGAGGCCCTGAAGAAATTCAGGGTTTGAGAAGTTCATGGAGTGAGTAAAGGCACACCCTGAAATCCCACATCCCCTTATCCCCAGTGCCTGGAGAGAGAAAAGTCTTCACTCTTCTATCTACTGGTACATTCAGCAAACTTCAGCTATCAAGAAGTATAAAACAACCTCTGGAGGCATCACAATCCCTGACTTCAAGCTCTACTATACAGCTACAATAATAAAAACATCTTGATACTGGCATAAAAACATGTGGACCGTGGAACTGAACTGAAGACCCTGACATTAATCCACACTCCTATGAACATATGATTTTCAACAAAGAAGCCAAAACTGTACAGTGGAAAAAAAGAAAGCATCTTCAACAAATGGTGCTGGCATAACTAGATGTCAACATGTAGAAGACTGCAAATAGATCCATATCTGTCAACGTGCACAAAACTTAAGTCCAAGTGGATCAAAGACCTCAACATATATCCAGCTACTCTGAACCTGAAAGAAGAAAGTAGGTTGTCTCGAACACATTGGCACTGGAGATCTCTTCCTAAATATAACACCAGTAGCACAGACACTGAGAGCAACAATTAATCAATGTGACCTCTTGAAACTGAGAAGCTTTTGTAGGGCAAAGGACATGGTCAACAAGACAAAACAACAGCCTACAGAATGGGAAAAGGTCTTCACCAACCCCACATCTGACAGAGGGCTGATATCCAGAACATATAAAGAACTCAAGAAATTAGATATCAAAATAACCAATAGTCCAATTAAAAAATGGGCTATAGAGCTAAACAGAGAATTCTCAATAGAAGAAGCTCAAATGGCTGAAAGACATTTAAGGAATTGCTCAACATGCTTAATCATCAGGGAAATGGAAATCAAAATGCCTCTGAGATATCCATCTTACACCCGTCAGAATGGCTAAGATCAAAAACACTAAAGACAGCTTATGTTGGAGAGGATTTGGAGAAAGGGGAACACTCCTACACTGTCGGTGGGAATGCAAACTGGTACAGCCACTTTGGAAATCGGTATGGCGCTTTCTTTAAAATTGGCAATCAACCTCCCTCAAGACCCAGCTATAGCACTCCTGGGCGTATACCCAAGGAATGCTCCATCATACCACAAGGACACATGCTCATCTATGTTCAAAGCAGCATTATTTGTAATAGCCAGAATGTGGAAACAACCTAGATGCCCTTCAACTGAAGAATGGATAAATAAAATGTAGTACATATACACAATGGAGTACTACTCAGAAGAGAAAAACAATGACTTCATGAGGCTTGCAGACAAATGGATGGAACTAGAAAACATCATCCTGAGTGAGGAAAGGGTCAGGGGAAAGAGAGCTTAGGGGAGCAGGAGGTCCCAGCTGGATCAGAAACACAGTGGGGGAAGAAGGAAAAAGATACCATGATAAATAAAGACCCCGTGGGAATAGGAAGAAACAGAGTGCTAGAGAGTTCCCAGAAATCCACTATAGACTTCTGGAAATGGTCGAGAGAGTGCCTGAGCTGACCTACTCTGGTGATCTCAAGGCTAAATATGACTGGTGAGACCTTTACCATCATTCCCTTCCTCAAACACACAATGTTCTTGTCATTAAAACTATAGGAGTCATTCCCTGGGAACAGCTCTGCAATCTTATTCTGCCTACCCAAGTGTGGTGAACAGCTCAGGGACTGTGCTGAGTCACTCCAACACTAGGTGGTCCACAGCCCAGTCCTCTGGTGGCTGTGTAGCTACAGGAAAGGCTAACCTCTTTGCTATACCAATCCACAGGCTACAGGAGGTAGAGAAGAGGAATCTGGCTCTGCCACACACAGCAATAAGCCTACGACTGGCTGCCTGGGTAGAGATAGAGCACTCAAAACACTCACCAGTGCAGACACATCCTGTTCATCTGTCAACTCTTTTGTCTAAAAGCTGGGCCCTGTGGACACAACCTCAAGAACTCTCCTACTCATGAAATCCCTTAGATGTGATACCACCAACTTTGGTCCTCATGTCTTTGAACAGTAAGGAAAAGCATGTGTCAGATCTGCCAGAGAAATCTGTCATCTGATTAAAAGATGACTTTTTCCGAGTTCCATATGGTCAGCAAGGGTAAGAAGCATGAAGAGGAGGATAGGATGAGCGAGGGATCAGTCATGGGAAAGGAGGTGGAAAACTGCAGGTTCTCACGTTGAAAATTTGTGATACATCACAAGTGCTTCCTCTGTGAGGCCTTGATTTAGCAGGACTTCTGCTTTTATCTGATAGGTCTTCAGTTCAAGGTAAGATTTCCAGGTAATGTTATCATTGATGTAAATATTCTTCTCAAAAGAGCTTAAAAGTTGGAACTGCTCTTGGATCAGAAGAGTGGCATTGTTATGTCTGCGAATGGTGCTCCTGATCTAAGAAAAAGAGAAGATGGGGAACATCAAAATGCATCTCCTGCCATCCTGCCATTCCAGCAGTCTAGAACACACAAACATACACATGCACACGTGCACACGCACACACACACACACACACACACACACACACAAACATACATCTCCCTAATGAAATTAGAGTAAATAAAACACCACATTGCTGATTCAGCTCAATAAATGTATGAACAAACCCAGCCTGGGATCCTCTTACTACAGTAGTAAAGAGGTAGAGTTGGGAATAGGGATGTCTGTGTCCTTTGAAAACAATGTGAAGGAGCTCTTGATTAGCATTTGACCTAAGGAACAGGCCTTACACACTGCCTATTCACTAGAAGATTTGCACTAGAAGACATACGTAGCTATGAGTGGTTATGCACACATCAGAGGATTGTGCTTAAGCATAAACCCAGCAGTTACCACACGGGCCTCTCTTGATGTTGCCAAGGCAATTAGAGAGCACCCAAGCTTGGAGGAAACCCTACTCATGCCTTCCACAATGCAATCCCAGCTAGAAGCAAAAGGATTTGTGATGGGGTGCCCAAAGTGATTTAATTAGTACTTAGGACACTCAAGTCTCCAAGAGCCTTGGTGAGACAATGAGCAAGGAAAACTCAGTTCCTGCTATTTAAAGATTCCAGGAACTAAGGCTCAGAAGCAGCAGAAAAACAAAACAAAACAAAAACCTTTGGGAACTGTGAGCTCCGTGGACCACAGCATTGCACAAGCCTTTCTTGAACCTTTCTTGGCCCTCAGTGTCTTTGAGAGCAGAAGTGTAATGAATTCTAGAGACAAACTGCTCACACTATTGACCTGCTTTCTGTGATCACACTTCTGATGAAAGACAAAGTAAGTAAGACATGTCCACCAGGGAGAAAAAAAAGTGAGGTTCACTAGTTTAAAGATAGAAAAGGGCACCAGGCTTTTACATTTGCTCCATATGATTACATACAAATGACCTCTCTTTTCAGCAGCAATGAGACTTACCTTCTTTGGAGCTCCAGCAATGAAAGGTCCTTTAATATCTGGACAGCTCTGATGGTCTGTGAGCCAAGGTGTGAGAATATCACCTGTTAGCAGATACAAGTAGTTAGGAAAGGAGCTACTTTGCTTCTCCAATAATCAATATTAGTTTATGTTAATTTACATATTGCTAGCTCACTGACCATGATGGCCATGGAGATACAGGCTTTAATCCTGCAATTTCATGGCTGAGATAGTAGTTACAACCTGAATTCTATTTTAATTTAAAAACTGGGATTAAATAAATTTTTTCAAGAGTTTACAAAGGAGATCAATTCAAGATGACAGTGGCTGCTGGCATCCACAGGCCCATGGAGCAGCTCTAAGGAGCCTGAGAGACCCAAGGAGGGTCAGATTGGAGATAGGGCAGCAGAGGATGAATCTGAGAGAGCAAAGAATCTCAAAAACAACTAAAATATGGTAGGTCGTATGGGAAGATGCTATTAAGAAGTGGTTTCATGAAATTGAAAAAAAAAGAAGAAGAAGAAGAAGAATAGCAGAGCAGATTCCATACATGGGCCAGAGATAAGTGAGCCTAAAGCTGCTGAAGCTCACACTAATGGCGATGGAGAATGGTTCATTTTCTGGATCGGTTTTCCTCAAAAAGCCTCCAGATACTGTGCTGTAGCTGGAGGCCATGTTGGTGTCCATAAACCATGCTGCCACCAGAAACCATATGGAAGTCAATGAGCTGTGCTGCCACTGGCTGTTCCAGGTAAGGAAGCTTCTTTTGCAGTGGTAACAATGACTGTAGCCTCATAGTTGAGAATGAGAAACCTATCACAGAAGACTTTTCCCACCTTCAAATAAAAAAGGAAACAGTCTAGACAGTAAGCCACTGAAGAGAGTCCTTAAATTGTTATAAAGATGCTGAAATGTAGCTCTTTTCAGTTGATGTCTTCCAGCAGGAGATGTGGCTGTTGAGTGTGGGGAAGGACTCAGTTATTTTAAAGGGGCTGGCCAATGAGACTTTCACCATGCACCAATGACTAACTACGTGGAAAACACAAATTAGAATTTATGTATTTTTTTTCTCTTCTTTTGGGCAGGCACAGGGTGGGAGAATGCCCCTGGAAGGAATGGGAAGCTATTTTGATCAGGTGCATTATATAACATTGCCAAATAATCAGTAAAAATATGTTAGAAAAAAAGTACAATGAATAGAAAAGATTCCCTTAAAACTCTACAGGGATTTATTTTTAGGGCATGCTCTCCAGGAACTCCTTATGCAACAGAGGGTGCTAGCCATGAACTAGTGGTTACTCAGCTATCTCAGCTCCCAAGAGCTCAGGGGACACTCCTGAATAAGCAGTCCTGTCCCTGAACTACTTTTAGAGAGTTTCTTTGGGGACCACAGCAGGAGACACAGTTGCTCATGTGCCCTAGACAGTCCCAATTCTCTACCCTGAAGGTCCTGTCCTGAGGGTTGCTCATTGATCTCTAGGTAGGACACAGCTGCCTATCCAGCCAGCTCCTCCAAGGCAACCCTACTCATGGATGAGTGGCAGATGTGGCCACCAGTTCCTCTCACATCCCAACACTACTGCTCAACAGCACTAACATGGAAATGCTAACGTGGAAAACTGAGTGGAGGGTTGATGCTGCTGCAGTGGAGCATCTTGGCTCTGAGTGTGCCTATCTACACACCTGGCTCTTTCCCTGCTTCTGTGGAAATGCTCTCAGGAACTACTTGAGTATTTTGTCTACACTGAGCTCATAAACACTTAACACCTCAGTGAGCCCAGAGCCCAGTCTGTCAGTTATTCCACTGTGGAATGTAAAGATCCATTTAGTGAGAGAGGAAATGTTCTGTCCAAAATCATAACCCCACATATATCAGGGATAAGATTCTAGTTAGGACAACAGCTTCTAGTTCAGTATTCTACCCATGATTCCACACTTTCTGGACTTGTCAAAATGTGTGGGAAAATTGAATGAAAGGAATTTTTCAATTTCTTTACTTACCAGACATTGTTGGGAAGATAATAAAAACACAGTTATAAGAATCAGATAAAGAGACAAAAACACTGTCAGGATTCAGAAACAAAAAACCCACATGTCCAGGGTCAGAGATACTGGACACTGAGGAAAATTAAGTTTGTCAGCATCATAAAGACCGAAAGACCATTCAGGTACTGGTTGGCTAAGAGGTAGAGTGATGTCATAAATCTACACTGGTACCCTAGTCAAAGACTTCTTGAAAAAAAGAGCAAATAAATTAGAGATGCAGACCTGAGTTTTGTTGGGTTCCTATCTTTTCTTTGTACTTCTATGATTCCTTACGATCTACAAGTCTGTACTCTAGTGAAGACAATGACTGTGAAGATGAAGAAGCAGCTTCAGTTTGAAAGCTGATCCTGAAGACTCATAGGCTCTGCCACATATTCGACAATTCATGTGTTCTCCAGAGGTCAGAGAAATAAAGGACCCAGCACTTTCTCTCAGTCCTTTCTAACTGAGCTAGCAGTGTGTGCAGAAAGAATTCTATTTTCTTATTTTTTTTCAGGAATAAGTTTGTCTTTGTGACTGAAGCTGGCTTGAGATTCACCATTTAGCCTAGATTTGCCAACAACGAGCATCAGTCCTCCAGCTTCAGCCTCCTGGGTGCTGAGATTTCACCTATGAGCCCAGACACTCAGCTCAGAATTGTTATGATATATCTATAGCATGCTTATTTTCATATTTTCTCTTTCTTTTTTTAGAGACATGGTTTCTCTGTGTAGTTTTGGTACCTGTCCTGAATCTCACTCTGTAGAGCAGGCTGGACTCGAACTCACAGAGATCCACCTGCCTCTACCTCCCAAGTGCTGGGATTAAAAGCGTGCACCACCACCCAGGTCATTTTCATAATTGTTAAGCATCACCAGCATTCAAGAAAACAGCAGAGAAAAAACAAACACAAAAGTTTACTTTCCTGACAAGTTTGCCGTCCTAGTTACACATTTTCCCAGCCTCAGTTTACTTCCTGGTCTACTAACCTACATGTTCACTAAATCCGTCTCTGTTTGCCCCGTGCTGAGCAAATTACTCAATCACCAGAAAAATTTATTATTCAATGAAGTCTTTTGGCTCCCTTCAGCATTCAGTCCCATAAATCCTGTGTTACCATGGTTGACACCTCCAAGTTCCATGCTCTCCCTTTCCTCCATTCTATTTTATCCCCCACCACTGCATCTTTCTGTTTTCTTGACTATCTCCAGGTCCAGGTGGCCTGTTCTTTTTTGTAAAAAGCCCCAAAGTGCTCTTCCAATAGCTTCAGCCTCCCTGCCCTGTGTTTCTTCCTCCTCTCTAGTTCTCTTTTAACTAGACAGAAGACTCCAAACATTGGGAATGCTGATTTTTAAAACTCCATTGGTTTTATTGTATTTCTTCAGGAATGGTCTTTAACACCCAGGCTATCACCAAAGTCACTGTGCAGCAGAGATGGGCATGGTCTCCTTGATTCTTCTGTCTCTGTCTCCCAAGGGCCAAGATTGCAGGGGTATGGCACCATGCTCTGACTAATCAATTTAGGAGCTTGTATGGAGTCTGGGCCAGGGTTGTACAGCTATCTGTAAACTGCACAAAACATGGGTGAGGACTTTTATTATCAGGAAGGTGCCTGTCATTATCCCAGTGTGCAGGTGCCAGAGAGAGCACAGGTGTTCCTGTCGTTCACTGTAACAAACAGTCCTGCTTTAGCAGGGACAGCAGACTTTCCTCTCCCCCACTGCTTTAGGACACATGTGAGGACACAGAAGAGGGAGGGACATCTGCCTAGCCAGAAAAGGTCAGCTCATCTCAGCTGCGAATGGAACACTGCCAGACACACTCTCGAGTTCCCTCGTATTTCACCACTAATGTTGACCAGCACCAACTGTGAAGTATCATTGTGGAAAACTGTGTGGAGGGGAGTGTCTTGGCCCTCAGTTCTCCTCATTACATACCCAGCTCTCTCTCTCTCTCTGCTTCAGCTGAAACAGTCCCAGAAACTCTGATTTTCTTCTCTATCTTGCTCCTAAACACTCAATACCTCAGAGAACCCTGAGCCCTGCCAGCCGGTTATCTCACCAAGGAAGGTGAAGGAACATTCACTGAGAGGATGAGGAAATACTCTGTCCAAACCTCAACCCTAGGGAATGTCAAAGATGAGACCACGTTAGGGCACCAACCTGTTGTTCACGACTTTCCCCTTTATCCCACATTGTTTTGATGCTTCCCAATTTAGTGAGCTGTCCAATAAAACAAACATTAAAGTTTCTTTTCCTACCTGACATCTTCAAGTCAGGAACAAAACAGGAGTAGGATCTGGATAGAGGGATGGGGACAAAACAGGAGTAGGATCTGGATAGAGGGATGGGGACAAAACAGGAGTAGGATCTGGATAGAGGGATGGGGACAAAACAGGAGTAGGATCTGGGTAAAGGGATGGGGACAAAACAGGAGTAGGATCTGGGTAAAGGGATGGGGACAAAACAGGAGTAGGATCTGGGTAAAGGGATGGGGACAAAACAGGAGTAGGGTCTGGATAGAGGGATGAGGACAAAACAGGAGTAGGATCTGGATAGAGGGATGGGGACAAAACAGGAGTAGGATCTGGGTAAAGGGATGGGGACAAAACAGGAGTAGGATCTGGATATAGGAATGAGGACAAAACAGGAGTATGCTCTGGATAGAGGGATGGGGACAAAACAGGAGTAGGGTCTGGATAGAGGGATGGGGACAAAACAGGAGTAGGATCTGGATAGAGTGATGAGGACAAAACAGGAGTATGCTCTGGATAGAAGGATGGGGACAAAACAGGAGTAGGATCTGGATAGAGGGATGGGGACAAAACAGGAGTAGGATCTGGATAGAGGGATGGGGACAAAACAGGAGTAGGATCTGGGTAAAGGGATGGGGACAAAACAGGAGTAGGAACTGGATATAGGAATGAGGACAAAACAGGAGTAGGATCTGGATAGAGGGATGGGGACAAAACAGGAGTAGGATCTGGATAGAGGGATGTGGACTAAACAGGAGTAGGATCTGGATAGAGGGATGGGGACAAAACAGGAGTAGGATCTGGATAGAGGGATGGGGACAAAACAGGAGTAGGATCTGGATAGAGGGATGGGGACAAAACAGGAGTAGGATCTGGGTAAAGGGATGGGGACAAAACAGGAGTAGGATCTGGATAAAGGAATGGGGACAAAACAGGAGTAGGATCTGGATAAAGGGATTAGATAGCGGGTTGTTAGGTTTTGCAGTAAAAAATCACGTCTGTGCAGGATCAAAGATGCTCAGCACTGAGGCACATTTGGTCACACATGGCAACCTCAAGACTCTATCTGGTGCTGATTGGTTGAGAGGGGAATGATGTCATAAAGCAGATGAAAGCCAATAGGATTCCCAGAAGCCATGTATAACAAGGGACAGTTGGACACCTGCAGGAAGACTAGAGCAGCCTTAAATGGCTACAATCTGGGCAGCTGAAAACATACAACCCAGACATGACAGTCTCTAGTCCCAGACCCTTAGTTCAGGAAGAGTGTCACGTGTTTCACACAAGTGGTCATTAATAAAGTCATTTATTATTGACACATGATTTTCACATTTCAACAGATAAAAATGTATTTATATTCACAGATGATGTCCTTGGTGAGCATCTTAGATACAGTTTTACTGCTGTGAAGAGCCACCACAGCCAAGACTACTCCAGGTGGAGCTCCAGGAGTCCAGTTGGTGAGAGAGAGGAGGGATTATATGAGTAAGAGATATCGAGACTATGATTGGATAAAGCACAGGGACAAATATCCAAACTAGTGGAAACACATAAACTGTGAACCAATAGCTGAGGAGCCCCCATGAAAATGGACCAGGCCCTCTGGATAAGTGAGACAGTTGATGAACTTGAACTGTTTAGGTGGCCCCCAGGCAGTGGGACCAGAACCTGTCCTCAGTGCAGGAGCTGGCTTTTTGGAACCTAGGGCCTATGCTGAGACATTTTGCTCAGCCTTGGTGCAGGGAGGAGGAGACTGGACTTGCCTCAACTGAATCTACCAGGCAAAGCTGATTCCCCAGGGGATGCCTTGCCTTGGAGGAGGTGGGAATGGGAGGTGGATTGGAGGGGGGAAGGTTGGGGGGTGAGAGGAGAGAGGACAGGGGAATCATGACTGATAAAAAAGTTAAATTATAAAATAAAAATATTTATTAAAAAATACCTCATCTTTAGTGAAGTATACCACACCTAGAAAGACAAATATGGTATATACTAGCTTATATGTAAATATTAGCTGATAAGGCAATCATAATCATAACCAAGCAAAAATCCATATAACCACAAAGGTTTGTTATAGAGTAAAGGACTGAATACAGGTAGATCTCTCTAGGAAAGGGAAATAGAACAGTTATGGATAGATGGGGGGGCGCTGGAAGTGGAGGATCATGGAGAGGAGAAGGGAAGAAGACAAGGAAGGAAATACATGGAGAGACAACTAAAACTAACAGCCATCTGAACGGGTAGTATAGAAATCTGACAGAGAAAAAGATTCCTAAAATATATACATATATGCAGATGATCTACATGAAATCACCAAATACTGGGGAGACAGAACTCCAACTGGACGTCTCGTCACCAAATGAAGCTTTCAATACCAGGATTGGGTTACATCTAATTGAGCTGCTGACCAAAGGGGTTCTTGTGAATCTCCAAATAACTGAGATTATTGCCAGGACTATAGGTTGTCATCCACAAACTGACAGCAAGACATCAACTGTTGAGGAGAACACCAACAATTCACTGAACATGAACCCAGAGAAGTCAAACTAGTGCCTACATACAGCCTTCACACCTAGAGTCTAGCATCTTTGGTACAAGGTGGTACTCTACCAAAGGAGAAACACAAGCAGTAACACAGCCATGAACCACTTGAGCTACAATGGTGTTCTGCCAACAAAATATCCTTAGTGCAATGGTGCTACAATTCTTGTGGGAGTAAACAGCCAATATCTTATTGGACTTAAGGCCCACACCATGATATAGAACACATACTGTACACTGGTTGGATAAGCAAGAACCTGAGACTAGATAGGTCAGGGATCTAGTATGAAACCAAATAACACCTTTCCAAATGAAACAAAACATAGCAAGAAAAACCTCCTAATGATATTCCACATACTCAGAGTATGGCATACTCAAATATATCTACGGCTTATCTATGACATACTCATAGTTAACTGCTCAGTCATCAAGAGGACTTTCCCCAGTGGACAATAGGTTTAGGTGCAGAGACCTACAGTCAGGCACTATGCAGAGAGTGAAAGAATTTAGATTGCTTAGCTTAGAACAGATGTCTCTATCAAATCCTTCCCCTCAGGCCTCAGGGGGTGTTTTGAAAGAGGAGGCAGATAGAGTGTGGGGCCCAGTATAGATGGAGAAAACCAAGAGCACAGGTTCTCTAAATCAAGAATATTGATGCACAATTGAATTTCACAAGGACTGTGGCAGCATGCACAGGGCCTGCATGAGTCTACACCAAATTGGGTCCTAGACCTGAAAAGAAATCTGGACACATAACCCTATCCATAACCCAGAAGCTATTTCCAGTTGATAACTAATTGCAAGTGAAAATTTACTTTTCTCCAATTGTAGTTGAGGGCTTCCTTGTGTCTCACCTGGTCTGCAGCCACTCGGACCCAAATAAATGCACAGAGACATATTAATTATGAACTCTATGACCATTAGCTCAGACTTATTACTGACAAGCTCTTACACTTAAATTAACCCATAATTCTTTTAGTTTTGTTTTGCCATGTGGCTTGGTACCTTTTCTCAGTTCTGCCTTGTCATCTTGCTTCCTCTGTGTCTGGCTGGTGACTCCTGACTCAACCCTTCCTTCTCCCAGAATTCTCCTCCTCTGCTTGCCCCACCTATACTTTCTGCCTTACTATTGACCAATCAGCATTTTATTAAACCAGTGTACAGAAGCAATATCCCACAGCATTTTCCCTTCTCTGTGTAATCAAAAAGAAATATTTTAATTTTAACATAGTAAAATTACATATAATAGAACTGTTATCAAGCAAGAATTACAG